TATATATATATATATGTATATGTATTTATATATATATATTTTTTTTTTTGCAATAATTTACCTACACCATAAAATTATTTCAGATATTGCCAATTATATTAAAACATTAAAACGCATTTAAAATAGCAGAATTATGGGAATTATATTATTTAATGTAGAAATAAAATTTGGAAGATCAAAAGGGAAAATAAATGAGAAAATTTTATTCCAAGTTTTAATAGGCCTCACTTTAATAAAAGTATACAATTTAAAGATTAATTGCCAAAATACACGTCATATAACAGTCGGAATATATTTGTGGTTTTGAGACATATCATATATAAATTACAAAAACATCGATTACATCTATCGAACCGTGAATATCAATAAAATAGTAAAGCGATAAACGTTATCTCGCGACTTATCACCAAAAGAAGTCATTAAGATTAGATCCGCCAATCTTTAGAAATCGGTTGGGTTATATAACTTTTTCAATTTCAAACTTAGAATTTTTTAAATAGCAAAGTGAACTTCTTGGGATCTAAAAATTGAATCTAGAGAGATCTAAAAAGTGAGCTTTCCAATTTTCAAAAAATTAATATTAATTCTAGAATGCTGTGCTTTTTCATTTTCTACTTAAATATGATCGAGTATACTCGATGGAATTAATTGTTAATTTTTATATTACTCTCATATAAATTAAGTAATGTCACATACAAAAACTTCTGTTATTACCATTATAGGCATGAAAGGATGGGAAATGTATTAACAGTAAAATAATGAAACTTGAATTTTAATTTATTTATTCATTCAACTATTCATCTAACAAAAAAAAGCGAAGGCTTCGCGTCATATCTCTAATTTTCACTAAAATTTTACATTGATAATAATGTATTTCGAATTTTTTCTACATGTTGGATGTATTCCGGTGCATCAGGGATCTATTATCATCTTCAACGTGAATTGTCCTTGGCATGATTATTAATTAACAGGTGCAAGGTTTGCACGAGCATTTTCCACCCTGTTTGCAGCTGCATTGATCTGTAAAAAAAGAATATATATATTTATCACAAGGAAGAGATCTAAATTTTTCTATTAAAAAAAAATAATAATAAAAGCAGATGTTAGCAGATAAGAACACATGCTTCTAAGCACATAAAACTTAAATAGGTCGATAGGTGACTTTAAATAACTCTTAAAAAAAAACTAAGTGTTGGCTTTCTTCTCACTTTATGCGTAAAAATTACAAATATTATTGTGCTTTTTGCTAATGCAAGGGTAAAATAAAAAAATTGTAAAAATAAAGGCGGGGGAGGAGGGAGGAAATGCGGAACATACGTGATCGAAAGAACTGAACTGAAAAGGAATGCGTAGTGTTCCGGGAAACCGTGACTCATTTTGTTACGTGTAATAATCAAAATGACCGCATGGCGTAGAAGCTTCGAACAATTACGCGCAATTGCGCCATGCAACGAAATTGCGCCACAAATACGCCGCGGAATTGCGACGCGCAGTGCTAAGCGCTACGGCGCTCGGTTTGGCTGTCATTAACCGGTCATTGTCCGGGATGGAAAATAAAAAATAGTACAGTTAGTAGTTGGCGCGCGTTCACGTTCGTTGATTCTGCTTGGAAAGAGAGACACATTCCGACGCGGCATTGCTAAAGCGAGTCCGATAGCTCGCAACTGGTCATAATTAAAAGTGATAACTCATCAAGGTCGTTCTACATTTAATCATAAGTCCATTGCAATACGTAAAACAATTTTAAGAGCACGACGAGTAAGTAGCGAATTGCGCAATCGGAGAAGCGAGTGTGCAAAATGTACTGATAATTCCTGATATATAAAAACATTACCCTTGCATCCGGAATCGCAGCACGAGCAATTGTCACCGCACTTGCAGTCCTTGCATTTGTCTGTAATAAATTTAAAATAATTATTTTAGAGATTTAAAGAGACACTTTATATAGATATTTATTGATATTATATCGAACATATACCATTCTACATGATGCATATATTTAATAATTTATGAATTATTTCAAAATCGCGTATAAAAATTGTTCAATAAGAGATTTCAATAATTCAGTAATTCTGATCAAGTGCCCTTTGACCACGCATTGCCGAATCAATGATAATTAGAAATCAATCGCATGACGTCTCTTTAAAGAGGGCAGATCTTGTTTTTTTGCTTGTACATCTCACCGTGCCCCAGTAGCTCCTCTACAGAGCAACGGTAACAATTGAGGAAACGTCATGTCAAATTCTCTATTAATGTCCATTAAGCGTTTATGGAGCACACTCACCCTTGCATTTATCGCATCCTGGTCCCGGCATCTTGGTTGGCTCTGGCTTGTCGCTTCGCAGTCGTGGGCTCGAACTCGCAGATAATGCAGCGGAATGCTTACTCGCCGGTAGAACGTCGCGGCTTCGAATTTATCGATCGTTCCCCACCAGGAGCCGGGCTTGGTTCCGAGCGGCTTGACAGGCGCAACGCGCGGCGTGTGCAATCGTCAACATGCGTGCCATGCGCAATTCCTCAGGGCCGGGTGACTCCAGCGGCGCGAGTTTTTCTAACAGGTTGTCGATCAAGATGACGCAGGAAGCGGCGCGGGGCGTGTCACGTTATCTCCATTCGATCCCAATAGTGTTATACTTTTCTGTAGACATTCAATTCGAATTAATCCGCGCGTCTGTTTTAATACATTTAATACATTTAACATTAAGCATATTCTTATTTTTGCGTACAAATGCAAAAATGTCATAGTCATAAAACTTCATAATCTATAGTATTATACGATGCCAATCATATTATACTAATATTTACTATATAATATATAATAGATTTACACGTAGATAAATTTAAAAGTTTTAAATGGATCAAATAAATTCAATCGTCAGAATTAAGAATATATAGAACTTTGGATATCTTAAATTTTACATCTTATTATCTTTAAAGAATTTAACATAGTCATAAATTGAATATTACTTTTCATGAATAAGCATATTTAATGCAGAAATAAACTTAATAAAAAAAGCTGGATTACTTGATAAAAAAAGCAATTATAAAAAATATCTGCGGTAATTTTGACAAAAGATATTTATACATTTTTACATATTTCACGGTGCTTGATAGTGTATCTATTATGTGTAATCAGGAAGTGGAATGTTATGTAATATCGAAAAAAATTTCATCAAGTCCGGCATATCAAGGGCGCTCAAATCACGCCAGCAATACATGTCCTTGTTCTCCTTCCTGATTACCTAATTAAAAATTTTAGTGCCCGCGATATTGACACAGATCTCGAAGGTGTTATTGACTCGAGATCGACGGCCCTGTCGGCGTTGTCGATACGGGACCAATAGCGAGAATTGCAAGAAACGACGCAGTACTGTCGCGCCTTACCGATAACGGAGAGGAAGCGAGGAACTTTCCAGCATTTAAAAAACCACGCGGTTGGTGATCGCCGCGCACTCTTCGAAACCTCCTTCATCCAGCTTTTTGTCATATTCGCGCTGTTTTTCTACAGCAGATTTTACGACGCCTCTCGTAAAATCGTTCTTATAGAGATCTGTTCGTAGTAATTTCCATTAAAAAGTGTTCCGCGTTTTCTTCTAGCTATGAATTTTACATTCGAAGTTTCGTAATTACTTCGTCTAGTGATGTGTACAACAATATCTAAAACTTCTTTCGCAGCTGTAACAATGCTCAATACAATGTTAATATTAGGATAGTAAAACTAGAACCAGGTCGACACATTTGCTATATTAGATAAGAACGAGAACGTATGGACTTTTGAATCAAAGTCACTTCTTTTCGTTGTAACCATTTTACTGCATGCTATTTCTTTTTTTCAAGAAACAGATTCGAATTTAAAGAACAAACTTAAATCTTCCTGGTATCTTCGATACACAGAAAATAGGAAGTCAAATTGTCATATAAAAGTTGTATCTGTGATTAAATTATTTCGAAAAAAACTGCTTAATAAAATAGTAAATAGACTGCGGATATAGATCTAATATAATAGTATGCAGCAAAATATAGTAATTTTATGGCACAGAAATGTAAAATAATTTGTGACACAAAAGAGTAAGTTATAAATTGCACATTTAATAAAACTTAGAAAATTCATATATAAAAAAAAATAATCTTTCATGAATTAACGTGCATATAAATTTCATTCTTTGTATTATATCTTCAGTTAACAAGTTAGATATCATATTAAACATATAAAAGTACCGACTAACTCTTTTATTCATAATGTTTTGCGCGTTATTTAATCAATATGGACTCTTCAGTGGAATCGTAATGAATTTCGGGTTACTTCAAGTGGTCTGATTTACATCCTGAAATAATGTAATTTAAATTAACATTTAATTATTTTATTTTAAAATTAAATTAAAATTTAAAACACACACACACACGTGTGTGTGTGTGTGTGTGTGTGTGTGTGTGTGTGTGTATACACGTATTTAAGTTATAAAAAATATTATTTATAAAAAGTTCAAAAAAGAAAAAAAAATATATATGAACTCTTTTTATAAAATATATATTTTTTAATTAAAGTTTTATATATAAATATACGAAACCTTAATTCATATATGTATATATAATTTGTGAATGTAATTTTACCTTCGTATCGAATCACGATTTTACCTTGTGTCGAGCGCAGTAATACGTTTACGTGATTTCCCACTGTTGGATCTTTTGTTTCGTTTACCTGAAAAAAAAAATTATAGATCGTTATAAATGTTTTGTTTTAAAGTTATCAAATAAAATTTTTGATACACAAATTTTTACATACCGTGCATACATGCGACGGGATGTTGCAATGCACTTTTGGTTGCGAAAAGTTATCAGCAACGTTTTCGTCCGCTACTGTTGTCCCAGTCGGCTTCTGAAAGAATGTGGAAAACGAGATAGATTTCTAATACATCACAAAGATCTTGCAAATTAGATTTATATCTTTATTAACGCGTTTACCTCTTTCGGAGACAGTCGAAACTTCATTCTCGGACTGGGTGAATGCGTAGTCTGCTTTCTTTTAGGTGTTAACAGCGTTCCAATCGTTTTAGGCCTCTTTATCAGATGGGTCTCTTCGCCCTTTATGTACTTCCCGACCGGCGATGTTATGTGATCGTAATTTCCTATTTGTCCATAAATTCTCTTCGCATGCGGACTGACGTTAGGCTTGTCTTGCTTCTTCGTTCCCGGCAGCATGTTGGGAAAGTACGTGCGCTTCGGCTTGCAACTCTTGTTAACAGACTTCCCGGGGGTCACAAATAGTTTCGAACCAGCCGTTTTATTAGTGGAGAGCTTTTTCGCCGACGACGGACTCGTACTCTTCTTTCTCGGCGAGAGCCTCGGTGCCCGTAATGTTGGCCTGTTCCCCGATAAAACTGACGGCGCGCAAGCATCGAGATTTTCGTTGGACATCCCCTTGGCTCGGGCAGCTCTTCCGTCGCGAGAAGCACGAGGATTACTCAATCTCGCTTGATAAAGTAAATTGATCAAAGGTTTGCTCTTCTCCAGGTAATCCTGATACTTCTTCACGCACATTAGAGTTTTCATGAATTCAACGTCGTTCTTGGTCGGCGAGGACTGACTGACCACGATATTCGGATACGTTTCTTGCGCCTCCGTCGAATTCAGATCTCCGTTAATCTCCATAATTACCTGTGCCGTGTCGAGGCACCTCTGCCTTTTCTTCGCGATCTCGTACAGGAGCGTGTTCTCGAGGTCGTCCAGCTCCATCGTTTCTCGCTTACCACGTTCCGTTCGCTGCTTACGCATATCAGATACCCTCTTCGAATTCGTTTCGTTGTTCTTTTCATTTGACAACAATCTGTACTGCGGATGCTGCGCCTCGGGTGTTTTATCGTGCTGATACGCCGAGTTCGCAGTACACGGTTCCAGTTTCTTCAGCTGCTCGTGAATGTTGGGCGAATCCTCCAGCGAGGCCATTTGACTCTCACACGTACGCCAAATTTTATCCATGTTTCGCAAGGGAGAGTCCAATTGGCTCCTCTCCCTCGCCGAGAAACTACGGTAATCATCAGGATATAATTGCTTGCACATCGCTTCCAAGTTTTCGAAGGTATTCGTGCTGTCGTGCAAATCTTTCGCGATGTAGGAAGCGTTTTTTGACATACGCCGAAACATTTTCTTGGGGGTTTTATTATTACGTCGGGGCGACGCGGACGTGGTTAAATACAGACCTTTATCGGGAGTTACAAAAGCATCAAGAGATCTTCGCAAGAGGTTAGAGTTAGGCTCCTGGCTTTGTCTCCTTGTCGACGTCAAGACGCTGGGGGACTGAGGCCACTCGGGAACAGTCTCGTCCTCGATAAATTTACACATTTTCCGAAGCTCTTCGTTGAATCTGCATAAACTGACTTCCGGATATTTCGTGGGTGCGCAGAAATCGTTAGTCATGACTGACTCTTCGATTATCGTTAGCAATCCTTCCGTAAAGTTCTTGGGTGCGTCGTAGTAATTTACGGACATACGTCTCAGCAAACGTTGTGGCATAGGCGCCTCTTGGATCGATGGCTTTTGATCCGCCAACAGGTGTAGGATTCTTCTCAACTCGGAAGGATTAATTTCGTCTCTGGAACTCATTTCACTGGTCACTGAATCGCACTGATCCCCTCTCATAGAATCATCTTTTCTGTTTGATAAATCAGGAGGTTTCGACAACGATAACGTATCGAACGAAGGAACGATCTCTGCTTCAACTGTCTCGTTCCGACTCATTTCCATTGCGATCCTGGCTGGGAAAGAAAGCTGGTCATCCTTAACATTGTAATTTGTATCCCTCTTCGAAGCTCTATCGAGCACAGTGTAGCTTTTGGATCTTCTAAGCCCTTGATTGACCAAAATTTTGTTCCTCAACGAATTCGCCGACAAAGAGCGTGGACGATGGAGATACCACGGTCGTACAGTTTTATTTAAATGGCTGGAATTGATGTCCTCGCCGACTGTAATCTCAGACAGTGTGGTATTTAACTGTTCTTCACGACTGTTATATTCGTTATTCAGATATTCATTATGAAACAGATTTATACGTTTGTTCAAGTCAGGTTTCAGTGACATATACGACGTCTCATCCGATCGTGGACTCAAAGTGTTCTTTAACAAAAGCTGCCTGATTTTGTACATATAATAGTTTTTCTCAGCGGCATTGCACGAGTCGGATGACGAAGTACATGGCTGATTGAGACTACCTGCTAGAATAATGGAACTGACACAAGATTCGTCATTTTTCATACGGCCGTACTTATCGTCTCCACCTTGCTCATTTCTTACAGAATAAAGAAATTCATCTCTGCCTCCTGAGGATACTTCAGGATACTGAATCGACTCCTCACTTGTTTGCCCTATAAATATATTTAATACTCATTTATTTAGAATATATATAACGATATATATACAAATTTAAGCATATTGTAAAATATAAAGAATCAGACATTATGACATAAAATAAGCATTTTACTGTGAAAATATTTCTTTTGGCACAGCAGATATATGCGTACGTGGGATATAATAATACGTACAATATATACAGTACTATGTGTAGAATTATAATGTACATTTCACAGAGATGCCGGTTAGGAAGGCAGAAAAACATTGTCGTACTTACGGAAACTATTTAAGGAATCCGTGAAATCGTTGGCATGTCTTCGTCGACTGTTCATTTTAACTTCTTGCGAGATAATTCTGTCACAATACAACAACAACAAAATGCAAGAGAGAACAAAGTAATTCGATCGAGAAAACTCTCAGAAAGTCATGAGAGCAAAACACCCATAACCCATAACGGCTCAAGCAAGTTTACAGTAAACTGTTTTCGAACGGTCAGGTGTACCAACACAATCGATCACGTGATAACATAACAACTACCAGAGAGGATCCTCTCTGCCCTCTCTGCTATTACGAAATGATACATTCAATAGTAAATGTATTTTTCCATATATAATTTCCTTTTTATCAATAATTTTTAACGCTAATTTTATTTTTTTTTATATTCGAACGTTAAATAGAGAAAAAGCAAAGATTCTGATAAAATAAGTACAAAAGTGCAGCAACACGAATGGACTATAGAAACTTTTCTGAACCCTGCAAGAAAATTAAACTTCCTCGATTGGCGCCAATTACAAAAGTCTTTAATTTGAACAATTGTTGAATAACAAATAATTTTTGGCGAAAAACGATGCAATGTGCATGCGTATGTTTAACGTCCCTAGTAGCCAATGCATCATAAAGAATTTCGAATAAATCTCCGCACACATTAGCGTAAGCATGAAACGATCTTGAGACTTGCTGTGGGGAATAGGTTAGAAAAACATCTCGCGGTGTTTTCTGATGTCTGTAAAAGATTTTTGCAATGCTAGTACTGGCAATTAGAAGTGGTGTGCTGTGCAGTTTGCGGCGAATCGCCGCGTACGTCACTTGCGGGAACAAAATGCGGGTGAAGATCGCACGGCGGTGCAACGAGACAAATTTGCTGTCTACCTCGCACCCGAATGTCGCCGCCTGCTGCTGCAGACTTTACAGCACCGAGTCGGATTCGGAACCGCGCGTCTCCCTGCCTATGCTCGTGGCCGATGCGAATGTTTTTATGCCGTCTCTTTTAACCCCGTTCCGTCTTTTCTTCCTGTCCTTTCACACTATTCCACACATAGATAAAGAATTTCTCGTGTCAGACACTCTGGACGGAGCCCAATACGTAATAAGATTTCCCTTTAAATATGTGCAGTATAATGTCGTTTATATGCTAATCAGCTAATAAGTACATCCCTGCACTTCAGGCAATAACAGTAATATCCAAGGCTTTAGCGAGGAAAGACTACGATTCCTTGGAAGGTCTTGTGGCAGAAGATATGATAGAGGTCTTAAGGACAAAGATCGAGACTCTCAGCCCTGAGCAAAGATTTTTAATTGCTGTAAACGAAGAGGACATTGCGTTTCATGTTTTGTGTGATATCGCAGTTAAGACAGGTAGTAGAATCATTAAATTAATACCAATACTGTTCCAAAAGATAACAGCAGATACTTCATATATTATATATTTTGTTTGCAGATGAGGAGCATTCCATTCAAATTAAACTAATGTGTCACTACGTCCCAGATTACGCTGAGAAAAAGAAGAGAATGGAAGTTGATTCTCCCAGAAACATTTCATTCACGTCTGTTTTGAAGGATTTCTTGGTGTGTAATTATACATTTACCCGTAAATATATAAATAATATTGGTGGTCCCTGGATTGCAACTTTCGTTAATCATTACAGTGTCGATAACGTGTCATAGGTATGTTGACATATTTGCAAAACAGTTTGAAATAAAATTCATATTAATCTGTTTTAGTCATCTGTTGATTAATTTATTATCACTATAGAGTAAATGCTAGCCTGTGTAACATTTTTTTTTTTTATTAAAATTTTGTCAATACAACAAAAAGTTATTTACATTATATTGTGTTTCATACATGTATATATGATACAAATATTTTATATTCATAATTGAAATATATTAAGTTTGTACATTCTGTATAATATATTAGCTGTTAATATTTTCCAATATTAATGGAATATACTTTTTAATATGCAACAATGTTGCGCCAATACGTGTCCCATTTTTTGAAACAGATACAACCAAAGGTCCCTATAAAAAATAGATTGCATAATATGAGCACAATTTACCATATGTTCATTTCTACCAATGTAGATTAACTTTAATCACGGTTATATTTACTTTTTATTTTTTTTTTAATTCTTAAAAGTAGAAAAAGATACAAAGTAAATTAAACCTGGATTAAAGTTAATCTACGTTAATAGAAATAGATGAACGACAAAATTTACATGTTGAAAATACCTGACAGATCTGTGGATTATGCATCCAACATTCTTGTTTGGAGGCTGCGGTTTGAAACAAATTATTCTGTTTGGTTGGCACAGAATTAAAAAAATTTACTTCCAACTCTTCTAAATTGCACACTGAAATCTTAATTAGATTTAGATAAGGCTCCATAAATAATGAGATAACAACTTTGGCAGAAATACCAGCTTGCTTGAAGATTATTTCAAAAGATTTAGTTGAAAAACCTATTAATTTATTTAAATGATTTAGTGCGGGTGATGGATCTCCTGCAACAATATATTGTCACATATAATGTATATTCAAAATATCTAATTTATATTATAAGACAAAGTTTTTTTATTTAATAATTACTTTTGTAAATTGCATCAGTGAGACGAAATGGTTTAGTAATAGTTAAGGCAAACATTGGAATTTGATTACGTTCGGTTCCCTTTAACAATTTGTCTATCGCTGTAAATATTAATTAATTAATTAATTAGGAAATATTCAGATCACGTATATATAAATTGTTTTGTGTCTTACATTTTCCTACTTCTTCAAATACTTTTGTGACTGGGATATTTTTGCTGATATATTTGCTCAGATGCATAGCATATAATCCGTATTTGCTATTTGTTCTTTCATAACTAGGACGATAACTAGATGTTGAGTATGCTTGTACTAAATTCCGTAGATTTTTCCTACTCTTATATTCTTTGACTTTTGGTATTTCGTTATAAATATCAGGGTTACATTCTCTAAAAAAATATTTTTTTATAAATAAAATTTATGTATTTGAATATAAAAATACATATATATAGATATTTGTAAAATTCCTTACTTTGGTGGTACAGTTTGACACATGTCCAATATCGTCACTAAAAGAGCAGGATCATTTTGCAGTAATATAGCTAACAATTCACTCTCGCAAATTGCATCTCTTCTTAAATAAGATTCTGGCGCGTCAACAGCAAGCATATAACTTTCCTGCATTTTAAAACCATGTCCAGCATAGTAGAACAATCCTATATCGATGTAAGTTTTAATAATTAATCAGTGCAATATATTTCAGTATAACAATCTCTCGCTGTAAAAATCTCTTACCATAAACTCCTTCCGTTAAAACCTCACCAAATATCTTTATAGCACTCTTCGTCTGTTCAAGCGACAAGTTTACCAAGCAGATTATTTTAAAACCAATCTCCTTTAACAGATTACCAATTTTTGCAGCATCATTCTTTGGCGTTTCTAGACACTTGTGATTTTCATAATCGTCATTTGCAATGATCAAGGCTATTTTTGCAATTGCTTTTTCACGAGGAAGATCCAACTGTATCAATACAAATATATATTATTATATAACAGTTTTAACTAGAATTGTATTCAATCTTTATTCAGAATTCTCTTATAAAATAATAAATTGTATATGTAATTTTTACCATCACATGACTTCTTTGAGTAATAACTTCATTCACGTCATTACTTATATAACAATGATATTTTCCTTCATGCTTGGAATTAAATTGTTTTATCTGCAACATTTTTTTTCATATAAAATACAGCTTCTTTTAATATTGATATTATGTATACTTACGTATAACACATTAGATGTTTCTCCTTCTAATCTTGTATTATCTCTGAACCACTGATAATGCGGTGCAGGATGACCAAGTGCTGTACATTTTATTATAAAATCTTCACCTTCCTTTAGCTCTAAGAAAGCAGGTGGTTGCTGCTGTATAATTACAGGCACACGAGATATATTTACAAAAGCTGATTTCGTTAGCAATACAGATATTTCCTCCCCATCATTGGTGACTTGTGAGATTTTGCAATTATACTCTCCAGCTTGATCACAGCTATGTGAAATTGTACGCAATAATCAATTAATCTGTCAAGCACCACAAAAATTTAGACAATAATTTTACCTGTTTATAACAATGTCAAGTTCACAACTTTGCTGTTTCTGCAGCTCAATATTATTGTGACACCATTGGTAACTCGGCGATGGTATACCTGTAGCTTTGCAGGAAAGGCGAAGGTGCTGACCGAGAGATATTTCCAAAGTATCATGTTCCAGGCCGTTGGAGGGATGTTTAACGATTACAGATAGCTCTATCAATAGTTTTATTAAAAATCAAATGATTGTCATGGAATATCTTTTGTCTAGTCATATCGATTCGAGTGTAAAGAGATAGACATATACCTGGATAATGTAAAACTGACAAAACGTTGCCAAGTTCGCAGTCTCTGAGTAATGTGCATAATATTCCGACCGTGCACATTTTTACATTGAGTTCAAATAGCAGATTGTCAGCTGGTGTTTTTGTAGCACTGGTATTCCGTTCTAATGACTGTAGCCACGAGTTCCTACGTGTGACAAATACATAAAGATTTATTAAGGATTAAGGTTAATTTTTGTCATAGCATCTGAATCGTTGGCCTTTTACCATTGATATCCAAGCTGCTTGGCTACGTGACAAGCGAGTGTTTGCCAGCTCGAGTCCTTATTTAATTCGTAAATTAATTCGTTGTACATTGATGATGGAATATGTTCTAAATACACGTCTTCACTGATTTTTGCCATTTTAAATATAACTGTATTTATTAATTACTTATACTTTCACAGTTGAGACAATTAAAGGTATGTACAATCTTATCGACGTTGCAATTTGCTTGCTGTTAAATGGATTACTCATTGCAGCACGTATTTTCCTCGAAAGGAGGAAATTAATGAATAAACATTATCATATTTCAGGAAAAATTACATTTATTCCAATCTTTTTTTTTTAAGATATGTTTATTAAAAATATAACAATATTTTTTGAAAAAGCACGGAATTCAGCATTAGGATTTATATTACATCTAATTATATACAAATAATCTATCATGGATATTTATTTTCTTTTTTATGCGTGTCTTTTCGTATATACAAACGGCACGAACAGACTTATTTTAGTGATAAAGTTTTTTGTTTGATCCGCGTTCGTTCTTGCACGGCTCCTAGAAAAATATCCCAAAGTCCCTAGCTACTCGTTTCGGAAACGGCCACGAGAGAGCGCGCGGCGATCACGGCCAGTCGCAGTCGGCCCGCGAAGTTGCAGCTCCTGCGCAATGCGCGTGGCGCGCTGCGCCGCATGATCTTGCGTATCAGTGTTCGCCAGTGCCATCCGGAAGGCACACATCGGGTTACGCGGGGAACCAGCGCAATAATCGTAAATACGTGCGAGATCCCGCGACGAGTGGTGCGTCGTCGATCGAGGAGGGAAAAAAAAGGGAAACGGTCGCGAGGGCGGTAGACGAGTGTTGGCGACGTAAAGGGTGGCTGGTGGTCGGCGGTCGCTCGTAGCGGCGGCGGTAGTGGTGGTTGGTGGTGGTGGTGGCGGCGGCGGCGGCGGTGGTGGTGGTGGGTGCTCCGGGTTCGTTCCGCGAGTGTCCGCGAAAAACTAGTGCCGCGAGCCATCATGGCGAACCCACGGAAATTCAGTGAAAAGATCGCGCTGCTGAACCAGAAGGAGGCGCAGGACTCGGCCGCATTCGAGGCAATCATGAAGGAGGTCTCGAACGTCACGAGCAGAGTAAGGAAATATCAGTATTATCCTTTGGCGTGGGTGGCTCGGTGCCGTGCCGCGATCGCGCCGTGACCCGTCGTGCACCTCCCTCGGCTCAGATGTTAGAACGTAAACAACGGGTGTCCCCTCTTGCCCTCCCCCCCATCTGCCCCAGTCGTTCTCGTTCTCCCTCCGATCCCCGTCTCTTTTTGTCGCTGCGCTTTACCGCGCTGTCGATCTCCGTGTATACGTGCGTGTGTGCGTGCGTGCGTGCGTGTATGTGTGCGAATAAGCGTGCGTGCGTGTCTCTGCCTGTCTTCCCTGCCCGCCCGCCTGCCTGCCTGCCTGCCTGCCTGCCTGTGTATCGGCCGGGTTGCTCCGCGAGCGAGCGCGCGCGCGCGCGTGCGTGTGTAAGTGTGCGTGTGTGTGTGTGTGTGTTTGTGTGTATGTACAACTGCTGTGCAAGTGCATCGCGCGCGCGGCCGCGTATCGCCGACGGCACGCGTATACACGGCGTATACACCGCGTTACCGCGAGGCGGTGGAGCACATACGCGCTACTCCGACATATACGTCGCATGGATTTTCCGTCGCGCGAACGCGAGCGTGCTCTCGCGTCCTCTCGCGCGAGACGCACGCCGCCGATCCGTACGCGCGCGCGGCGAAGCGCTCGGAGACGCGACTGACTTATCGCGACGCGGATTAATCTCCCGCGACTGCGAGCGCGCGATCGATCCCGCCTCGCCAATCGATGTGTCGCGCGAAATTCACACGTTTTAACTCATATACGCGAACGATTCCGCGCTCCGACGATCCGTGTCTCCGAATTCATTCTCGTTTCCGCGTTTCGAAATTCCGCGAGTCGGAGCACGATGTTCGAACCCTCGCCGAATGGCACGCGGGATTTCGATTTCGATAAAAAAATAAAAAAAACACTTTGACAGCCAAGCGACGGCGTTTCCTCGGGCGATCTCGCGGGTGTCGAGAAAACAGCTTGGCATTCGTTACGGCACATTCGATTCGTTTCGATGCGCATGTAAACATTCCGCTCTCTCAATAGCAGCGCCGGCGGCCCTCGAGGTATTTTCAACGGGAGCGTCGGCGAGGTTGGGTCGATGCATTTAGCGTCCTCGAGCGCACCTCCGCATGCCCCGACTGCGGTTAAAACGGAGCACCCGCGCCGGGGAGCGTTCTCCAATCGCGTCGAAAAGATAAGGACGTCTCGCGGGACCGTTCGTCGCTATCCGAGTATCTCGGAGCGAAAACCTTTTGGAACAAACGAAAAGAGATTGGATCTTCGTGTCTGATGATTTTACGCAGAAACTTGTTTGACGTCAAAATACATGCGATCGTTTATAAGGACAAGAGTCGGCAAATTACGGCTCATCTAATTAATAAAGTTATATCCTGGAATTTCGTTAATGAAAATTTATTCGTTCTATAAATCTTGTTATAAATATTTACGTAATTCAGTTTTACCTCCTGACCCATAAAGCTTAAAATATTTACTATTTGGTATGGAGAAAGCTTGCCGACCGTTGATTCAGGAACTATTATTTGTCAGCTTTGTAAACCGTCGTGTGTCTTTTAATCTACCGATTAAACACAGTGGAGAGCCGAATTTCATTAGATTTTACGATGTATGTAGGAAAGTTTCGTGCGCGTTGCCCAAATTTGTTCGCTCACGGAGCGTTGCTTAGAGTACCGTTCGAATCGACAATCGAAGAATAGAATCCGCTATGGAGATAAGAACCTGTTTATCGGAGCGTGGTCCACAGGAAGGCCGATATTATGCCGTGAAAGTTAATACTAACGTCGCGAAGGCAACGCTTATAATCGGGAAAAGAAAATCGAGGATCACGGGCACTAGCTTTTGCGAGTAGAACTAACGAAGTGTATACGATTAGAAATGTTAGCGAGGGTAGGACACGTATCTCCAATCCTGACTCCGTAAGTCTCGCAGCTAGGAGGAGAAAAAAAACAGCTGGTTAGCCTGCGGTGATGTACGTCTCACTAATATTTAGAGTTTTCGTAATTCGAAGCGCTAATTTCACAAGGCTAACCGGCCCGGCTGAGGACCGTGAAAATCGCTTCCGATTGCGCTATTGTTGTTTGCGGTGTGGTTGTCAATGACGGGACCTGCACAGGTGGCCTCGGCGAGCAGCTCGGTGGGTGCTAGTCCCACGGGATCCGGCGTACCGGAGACCCCGCTGTCCGTCAAGAGTGCCGGCGCCAGTCCACCGCAGTCCAGCGGCAAGCATCTGCATATTAACCTGGGAAACCAGTTCAGAGCGGGTGGCTCGCTACCGAACGTTAACAACAATGTCAATTGCGGCAACGACGCGAAAGAGCACTCCTCGCCGCATCCCGGCGCGATCCACTCGATCGACCTTAAGGTCTGTACCGTTCTTCCTCTGAACGAAAAACATTCCTCAGTTGTTGTTGCCCCCGGCTTGTTGTCTCCCGAACGTTTTCGTTGCACCCTCTGGAACGCACCCTCACTTCGTTCCACGGAGAAAAATTCTTCCAAGTTGCGTTACGTCGATATTTTGGAAATTACGGGCACACTGTCTCAGGTTACATTCGAAAAGATGTCGGCAATCGAAAGAGCCAATTTTTAGTTGCTGCGATATTTGGAGTGACGTAAACGTCAAATCGAAACGCAAAGAAAGAATTTAAATTTTCACATTCAATTCGATCTTGATCATTTCGATCGATTTTCAGGTTGAACACGCAATGTTTTTGATTAGAAAGAGCTTGGAAGATGAAATTCTTCTTTATATAAAATTGATTTCTAAAATCACGTTTTTTAAAATGATAATTCTGTCACGTGTTTCGTGGTGAAACTCACAATCCATACCATTTTGAAGCTTTTTAATGAAAGTTTCTTTTAAATCGGCACAAAATGAAAGACTTTTCTCCGTGTTTTCAAGGGTCGTTCCGCACTGCAGACATTTTATACGATTCGCTTTGTTTCGCACCAGGTTCCAGTGTGATTACGAAATTTATTTCGATTAATATATTGTAGTATAATGTCTTGCTGTTTAGTTCACTTGTTGTATGAAATAGGAAATATTGTTTTGATAAATATCGTTCACGCACATCACTGAATGCAGTAGGAGTTGTATCGATACTGGTACTGACCGTAGCAATTCTCTTTTCGTAGTGATCCTCCCCCTTTTCTTTTTTGCAATGTCTCCGCACAACAATGGAATTGCATGGCACGTATACGCAATAGCACGAATTAAAGATGTTCCCCGATTGCATTGGCTACCATAAATGTAGTAGTGTAGTCGGTTATTTTTAGTAGCAATTAAATTGGAATTCTGTGGCGACGAGCAAAAGAGTTAAAACCGCAAAACAATTAGAATTATAACAACACAGATTATGGTTAATTCGATGCGATTATATGCCATATATCGCGCCGTGTAGGATAAGCGATGCATACATTTTCGCTCGTGTTGCAGTTAAAAAGACCGACTAAAGGTTTTATCATGCGTTTTGAACTCTGTGACCTTTGTATCATGTCTGCATATTCGATTAACAATGAAGAACTATTTTATTAAGCTGTGCAAACCGGCGCAAATTCCATGCAGAGGATACTTTTATGGAAATGTGACCAAGCCCAGTCACATTGATGATCCTATTCATGTATAATTATTATTATTATATTTATGCAAATATCTCCTCCCGAAGGATTTACAGAATGACGTAGATAAAGTCACAGGAATCGTAACGGCCTTACAGCGGGAATGTCGAAAAGTTTTAACGAATGTAAATTAATCGTCAAATTTCAAATAGCTCGGTAACTTGTAATGGATTTATTAGCAAGCTAATTAAAGATTTATACGGCAAATCCAGCCAAGTGCTTTTCAAGAAAATATCGTAAAAAAATTCTGCAAAATTTTATTTAGTCTTAACGTTATTTCAAAGTTAACAGCAAAATGCACCTTATGCATTAGCAACTGTGCATTATCCGAAATATAATAATTAAATTTTCTGAATGAAGTTTTCTCGTACCCAGGTGAACTGAGAAAATTACGCGATGTCATTTCAGATAGAGATCCAATGATGAAATTACACAACATTTTTCCGCATTCATGCTGCACTGGTCGCCGTACCCGCGCGTGAAATCACAAAGTGTAGAAAATTTCACGGCTAAAAGCCGTAATCATATCTACTGCTACACTTAAACAAGTAATTAATTTACATGCGAAACTTTCGGAAATGTAGGCCATTATATAATAAAAAAACGCGTGTATTTAAAATATATGATTGTCAAAATTATGGCACTGTGTCGGGTGAGGAAATTTTTTTACCTCGTACATAATTAAAAGGATTCGCTGTCGGACGTATATGAGCAAGTTCGTAATTTGTAAAGTTTCTAAAATAGACTTACAAATTATGGACTTACCTCGGTCTTACACTGGATCTTTTAATTTCAATCGAGATCTTACAGCGAATTCTATAAGTTTCTCTCTTTCGATGTTTCACCTCACGATCTTTTCTTTAATAAATCTTATTTCTCAAAAGCTACCGTGCTAATTAACTTTTGCTATGTAATTTACTCTTTATAACGGATCCTTTTTAATTAATTGACACACCTTGCTTCGCCCTACACGCGATTCTGTGAACATCGAGAAAGTTGAATGGTACTGGAATTAAAGGCAAATAAAATCATAAAAAATATTATTTAATTAAACATGAACTCATAAATAGCTCGTGATTATGCATTGATACCTCACACTCCTCCCCTTTAATTTGCTACTGCGCTCGGATCTGATTTAGTTTCAATGCATATTTATATCGTATAGTATAATATTTTAATATTAAACATCAACATTTTCTACCAATTTTATTCATATTAGGTCGCACAGCGTGTTCATAATGATTACTCACTATTATTATTATTATTATTATTATACAAATCATATTTTTTAATTTTACGTAATTCGTATAATATATCCCTAGGCTACTTCTTTGTCTCGTATTTATCTCCACGGTCGAGTTGTTTTACTTCATAACGTTATGCGCGAAACATGTTGGAGAATGTCGTCGCACGTGATTGTGGAGCTGACTCTCCTCCCATGCGTCGAATTAAACCATAAACCACAGCTGTAACAAATACATTCATCCGTATTAATTAATGGAAAATAAGTGTGGAAAGGACTGATTGATTTTGATTTAACCATACAGAAAATCTACTCTTTTCCAACAACGATGATAATAATAATAATAATCTTAAATTAAACAATGGAACTCTTAGTTACAATCTCATTAAGAGTTATTGACTTGAAATAACGAATCCATTTACCTCTGGTACTGTTCCTTGGACGCATTTCGCCACTTCGTAGATCTTTTCGCATGCATCCGCGCCATCTGAAACATTGATCGAAGCGGGTATAAGTACGTAAAATAATAATGAAGTAATAATATAGAAAATTCGGGTAAAATGCATTTCATTCACGTACCTTGCTTAGCGCATTTGTTCAAAATCTTGTTACCTATCTCTTGAAATTGCTCCGGGATAACGCTTATCAGCATATCAGCTTCTAAGTTACCCTCTTCATCGACCTAATCGGTGAAATATTGTTTATCGAAATATTGTTAATTGAGCGAAATTGATATTTATAAGAATATTACCAAACTGAAGGCGTCGAGGAGGCAGTTCATGTAACACGTTATAGTTCGGTCATTCGTCAGCTTTCCGTCATTAACTTCGTCGATGAGCGCTGCATCGCGGAATATAAAATATAAATGTTATAAATGCGAGGAGACGAGAATAGGCTTTCTTTCAAAATATTAGTAAGACGTTTTATTTCGGAGCTTTAAACGATTATGTAAAGCAGTTTGTAGCGCCGCGGGATTATTGGCCGAACGTTGATTCGCGCTATTAATTGCGGGACTCACCTTGAGACGTTCCGTGTTCGGCCATGCACCGTTCCTTGTCAGCTTGAACCATCTCCAACATTTCCGCGGGTATCCAGTCAGGTGGCTACGCAAAATCAGAATTTATTACGAGCGCGTCGCAGCTCGGGTATTCTCGCGCGCATATCGGACTTTAGCACTATTCTTCGACAAATTCACGCGCGCATGCACGCTCGACGAAATCGCACATCACAATGCGTGTATACGGGGGGGGGGGTCACTGCCGAATTATCGTCGCGTTGTCCCTAGTCGAGCGGGGGATCTGTTTACCGCGCGTTTAAACGAAAGTAAGCTGAATGGCTTACCCCGGCGGACACGTAAATCGCCTGTAGCAACACTACGCCGAGGATCACCGACACGTGCATCGTTGTACGATTTTGCTTGCTTACTCGTTCGCTACACCTCGATATGTCACTTTTCTACGGCAAAATGTACCATCCGCGTCGGTTACGCGCTGTTTTTATAATGCCACGACAACGGGATGTGGGCGTGCCTGACAGAGGGTTAATGTTATATCCTTCGCTTACTGATTGAGGCTCTTCGTCGTTAAGTCGCCGGTTAAACCCCGGCTAATTTTCGACTCTTAACGGAAGCGTGCAGTGCGCAATTATGTGTGTCCGCAACCTTGTATGTATCCTGCGTATGCAAATCTATGTACGTTCAGTTTAGTGCATGGAACTTTTTGGATTTTCATTGAGTACATATCAAATTGGTATCGGAAATAACACGGGAAAAAATTTTTTCCTTTCCTAGTTTGGGAAAGATACAATGACTGTCAAATGGGACGTAGATAGCAATTATTTTAATAAAATATTTTCAACTCGGTACACAATAACTTTAATTTGATATTTAACAATATAATATTTTGTAAAATTAAAAAAAAATCATCATTGAAAGGAAAAAGACGATCTTTATTTCGATGGAAATAATTTTCATTGATCTTTCTCTACTTTTCTTTTTTCGTGGAAATTTTGAAATTAAACTTCAAATATTTACTTTAAGCTGAATAACGGGAAGCTCTTAATATACGTAATTAACTCCATTGAACCTAAGCCGGAGACGGGCGCTTATTCGGTTCAACGCACGACCCTATGGTGTTTTCAATTCCAACATGTTATTGTCGGAATTAATTATAGATTTTAAGCTTTGAACGTCCTGTTTTTTAACAATTCAATTCGCATTTATCGAGTTACTTACAAAAAATATTTTTTTTTTAGAATGTCGCAGCATTAGTAATCATTTTTATTAATTCGTAATACATAAAAAAAATAATTCACTAAATTATTTTCTTTTTGTTTTACGTAATATTATCAATACCTAAACGAAGTGCATCCGATAATGCGGAAGATTCTTGCACGAAACGGTGTCGTAACCAGTAAAGACACAATGTATGCGGCGATTACCGAATTACCGCTAAATTGCAAGAATCATCGTCAACATCGTGATACGAAATCACTAGGTATGATAATAACTGAAAATTGGCTAGTTTTGTCGTTTTACATCCGAGATAAAAGGAAGGAAAAAAGGATTCAAAAAAGATTTTGCATTAACTATGCTTATATTTGTGCACTAATTTTGTACTTCCGATTATATTATCGCCGTAATAACTTGGAATTATACATCAGACTTTGTATTGTACGATTGCTGCAATTTGTCAATGAATGTAATTGTTTGCTTACGGAGGCTCCAATATGTAACGCTGCCGGAGGTAATAAACAAAGGGAATTCGTATTTCAGTTTACAGTACACGCGCATAGAGCACGTATCACGTATCACTTCATAACGAAGCAATTAAATCGCGGAACGAAATGTAATATCGAAACCGCGTCACATACCGCATTATTATCGACGTTTGCGCCGTAAGTCTTTGCGAAGCGAGGGCAAAAGACAGCACTCTCAAATTTAACCGCGTTACGTCGAATCGATGAACTCGCCTGATTGACCTTCTATTACGCGCTATTTTCCGTCCACCAGCAATCATTGAAAATTAATTAGATACAACGTAATTCGATTGACGGTGCGCATTTAGACAGTTGATACATTTGTGGGGTTATACGCAGCAAATACATGTTAAAGAAAGCGTGTTGTCGAAAGTAAAAGTATATTTTAACAAGTGAAATAATACGATGCACAAGAAAGTAGTTCAACAAATAATTTTTTTTTTCATGGATATCAATAATGAGATCTGTAAGCATTCCCTTGAATCGATTTTCTTTAGCGTTTCAGCTGAAACTTAGATGACAAGTATCGCAAAATTGTATGTAATTCGAACGTGGACGGTCGAACTTCTTTAGTATTTTAGCTGAAACTCATACGACGTATCGCAAAATTGTATGTAATTCGGAATAATGTAAAGCCGCGTTTCCTCGTATCCGACAGACCTTGCAAGTTTCCTGAATAAGTGATACTTTGTGAGCTGTCTTATAGCTCCGCGAGAAATTGATCGATCACGCAGGACAATGGGAAATCATTGTGTTTAGTCTACGAGTATTACAATGCCACGGAGAGCTCTGTGCTTATTAATATACTCCGACCTTGATGCAACGCTTTGGTTTGAGGGTAAAACGAGTCCTATATACCGCTTATATCCCGCGCAAGTTTCTATTACCAGTTGGTGCGACAAATTGCCGGCACACGTTTCTGATATCCGATTATCCCAAGTCCACATGCGGTGCCCTACCAAAATGCGCTGTCCAAATTGGACGATGCGTTTCTTAATGCCGATTCCGACTGGGACGGTCGTTGCTCATCTCTCTCTCTCTCTCTCTCTCTCTCGATCGCTCCGGGTCGCTCGACATACCGAGTGTGCAAGTATAAAAAAATCGCTCGCAATTATATAGCGTAAAGGCCCAGGTACATTGCTACCAAGACAGTCAAGGTCAAGTTTCGATCGCGCGAGAAAATGCACCGAGGTGGTCTTATCTCGGGCAGTCTACCTCTCTTCGGATCGCGCGCGATCGGGGTCAAGAAATCCCTTCCCGGGTTCTTACCCCGCCGTTCGATCATTCGTCGCGCCTCTCCCGAGGCCTCCCCGTCGTCGCGATTGCATTCGCGTCGTCTTCCCGCTCGTCCAACTTTCTCGCGCGCACACGAATCGATCGAATTTCCGGCGGATTTCTGTTCCTGCGCACGTGCCGTGGCGCACCTATCCGCCGTTCATGTCGCCGCGACGAGAGCCTCGGCTTAGCCTTGCGCTCCGATCTCTGTCGGCGCAATCTAATTGAATGGCAGCCCCGTGGGCGATAAGGCGTACGAGCCTTCATTCTCGGGATAATATAAATAGCAACCTCAGAATAATATCGCCGTAACCTGCACCTTGCGTTTCGGAGCTACGTCTAACATTCCCATTCAAATGTTTGTCCAATGCTAAAATTACCGTGATTTAAAAAAACGGGGAACAAAAAGGAGATGGCTGGAAATATTAAGCGTTGACTAGAAAAAGTTGAACAAATTATTTTCGAAGAAAAAACTTAAATTTCATTTAAAATGAATTTATAAATTGGTCACTATTTGCGAAGGAACTTTACATCTTAAAAAAAAAAAAAATACCGCAGAAGAAAGAAGCTCACCAGGATTCTGTAGTCTTTAAGGCGAGAGCACAGACTTTTGCATAACGCACAAGACATAAGAGAATCAACTAATCAGAATATGAAATGAAGGACTCTAATTGGTTGATTTTCTTATGCATTATGTCTTGTGCAGCGTTATGCAAAAGTCTGTGCTCCCGGCTTTAGAACGAGGAGAGTTCGCACGCGAAAGGGTATTCCTCCAACGATGCGAGTAACCACGCAAGCTCCGGGAGCACAGCAGAAAACAAACACCACCGCGTACACGTGCTTCGGGGCAAGTGTGCACTCGCATACGGAATATTGATCGCGTTACTTGTGCAGGTACTCGCCAGTTTCATTCGTTCCCGGCGTGCCGATTGTTACGGCCGTTGCTGCTGCTGCATCCGCAACTGCTGCACCCAGCTTCGATTGTCACGAAATTTTCACGAGAGCGTCAATGTTGTTTCTCGCGGTAGAGCGCTTTACTGCCGTTTGCAAAATCCCCGTCCCTTGATCCGCCCGTTGCGACTGACACGGTAATCGATTTTCGGGGATAACGTTCGTTTCGCATTGAGATTCCCGGGGATTATAACGTTCGCGGCGTGTACTAACAAAGCAATCCCTTTAAGACCTCCCAATAGACTTGTTATTTCTTGCTTTATCCGCTTTATGACGGTTTATGAAATTCAGAGAAGACGCACGTAGATCGATACTTTGGGTAGAATAATCCATTGTTCGCGCGGAAAAGCGGAACGCAAACACGACGTACGAATTCGATCAGAAATGCGACGTACGTCCTGCTTCTTTCTTATCAACCGGCAGCCTTGAATGGCGATGGGTATCCTCGTCAAAGTGGGTCATCGCCGTTGAGAGTCGGCAGACGGCGGCGAAGCGTCGTGACGATGACCGACGACGACGTGCGTGTGTGGGTGGAGCGAAATTGTCATCAGAAGGCAAGGGTAGAGACCTAGGTCGCTGAAGCAGAGAGTTGCGAGCGAGTAGGTGGAGCAGCAGGTCGTAAAGGGAAGCTTCTTCCGCGACGGATCGGTTCCCGACCTCTTTAACGCGCGTATTTCTCGCCCCATTCATAACACGCGTCTCGCACGTCCTCCGTTCTGCAGGCTGCACAAAAATACTTGGTCTAACTCGGTCTGACTCACCATTAAGATCCATCTTCCATTAACGAAAATTTAATCATTCGCCACCGTCTCTCCGCCTCTAATGTACCTTACGCATTGAATCATGGCGATGATCGAACGTTCGATTAATATTCCGCGTAAGTCTGATGCCGCTAATTTACATTCAAGCCTTAAATCCTGTTTTGCATTTTTAGCAGGAAACACATTTCCGAAGTTGAAATCCAGTTCCAGCATAATTCTGCCCAAAAAGTTTGATTATCTCGCGTTACGTAATATTATCCAATATAATAGGGGGGTCTTTGATTTTCTCGTTGAGAAAATTCTTACACGGCGTGATTCGCGCGAGGGACTGCTTCGCTCCATAATTTCTCATTCCACTGCACCGTTAGCGATCCGACATCGGACGGTCGACTTGCATAAGAGGTCAAATGAAGATAAAATTACAACCTGGAAAGTGTCATCGGCGTTCGATCGACCACAGTGTCCTTGAATATCATCTGTGAAAGTCGAAGGACATAAGCCGGATGAATATTTAATAGCGGAGTATCGTGGCTCAAGTCCAAATTAAAGTTCATTCAAGTCGGGGAAAAAGATGAACTTCCCCGTCGCGAAATTTTTCTTAGCGTCGGTATATAAATCTTCCGCTTTGTAACTGTGCGAATGCTTGTATTATTTTTGCGCAAAAAAATTGATACTTTGTATTAGGATGTTAATTTTTTACTGAAAATAATTATGCCGTGAATCTGTTCGTACAGACCCAAGATTTTCCCTCGT